GATGTACAAATGCGCTTTACACAATTGATGTGTGTATGGATTGGGATAACAGTTGTATGAGCCCCTAATAAAATGTTTAAAAAGAAAAAAAAAAAAGAGCACTTAGAATAGTGAATAACAAATGCTAGTGCTTGCTGTGTTGAAAATGGTCTGCTAATTCTCTTTACAATTACGATGTCATATAGAAACTTCAATTTGCAAGCTTTAAATTGTGAACACCCAATTTGCAGAAGTCTATAAATGACAGTGGGAGCCCAAATTCCATTTGCAGAATCCTTACATGGCGTTAAGCCTCTGGTGAATTCAGATGCAAACAGTCTTGCTATCAGAATATTATAAACTCAATTATGCCAATGTAATTAGATTAAATGTAATACCTGATCATTTGAACTTCCTTTTGACTCATTTTTAATTTGTTCTTCTAGTTTTTATTCTCTGCTTTTTTCCTCTGGTTTATTTTGTTACTGTTGCTTTTTTTTTTTTTTAATGTTTACAAATACATGAAATTCAGAATCAGAAAATTTATATAGTCAGTAACTGGATTAATGGCTTTTGGGGGGTATGAGAAGGGAGGTTAGAGGGAATTAGGGAGCTAATAATAAGTACAAGAAAGAAAAATGTTCTAAAACTGATTATAGGGTTGATTATACAACTCTTTTTAATAGGACTGAACTGTAGAAGTATATGATATGTGATTTATATACCAATAAAACTTTTTTTAAAAAAGGTTACAATTGTAGTTCATCATAATTTGAATGCATCGTAAGTCAGAAACAGCCCATAAAACTGTGAGATGTGAATGTAAAATCATAAAAAGGGCTTAAAAAAAAGATTGCTCATGCATTATAACTAAATCTAGAGTGATGGTACACAGAAGTTCTGTGTAATATTTCCACTTCCACTTCTCTTGCTTATATTTTAAATTTTCCATGAAAAAAGTTCTAAGTTCCAATTCTGTTAGCATAATATATTCCTTTTTTCTTTTTTCCCAGAACTGAAAGAAACCAGCGATGCATATATGATTCAATCATCAGTGAGGTAAACCCAGGTTTCCAGATTCCAGACTGTAACTCAGACTCTCAAACTGTTGCATTTTTAGGACACAGACTCAAAGGTTTCCAATGAGAGCATGATGCCCGCTCACTGCATCACAGTCACATACAGTGGCTCCAATGTTAGGAACCTTCCTCTGTAGCACGTATTACAAAGAGAGAAATCACAGGAAGTAGTAATTCAATTTCAAAGTCTTATGTATTCTTCCTAGAAAAGAGGAGACAACTGATGTTTTTAAACCTTGAAGGGAAAACAACTGACAAAGTATTTCTGCTCAAGTTATTCTGTGAAGTAGATGGATATTTTTTTTAATTTATTTCCTATGATTTTTATGGCATATGTATCTTGATTCTACATTCTGAAGGACAGTTAAAAAGAAAAATCTTCAAAACAATAATAATTTATAAATTATCAAGGGTTCATGAGGGAAGGGGGAGGGAGGGTGAAAAATGAGGAGCTGATATCAGAGGCTCAAGTAGAAGGCAAATGTTTTTTTTGTTGTTGTTAGGTTTTCTTTTTTTTTTTGATCGTTTTATTAGGGGCTCATACAACTCTTATCACAATCCATACACACATCAATTGTGTAAAGTGCATTTGTACATTCATTGCCCTCATCATTCTCAAAACATTTCCTCTCCACTTAAGCCCCCGGCATTAGGTCCTCATTTTTCCTCTCCCTCCCCGCTACCCCCTCTCTCATGAGCCCTTGATAATTTATAACTTGTTATTTTGTCATATCTTGCCCTGTCTGACGTCTTCAGAAGGCAAGTATTTTGAGAATGATGATGGCAACAAATGTACAAATGTGCTTGACACAATGGATACATGTATGGATTGTGATAAGAGTTCTATGAGCCCTCAATAAAATAACTTAAAAAGAAAAATCCTGTTTAAAATCATATGAAATTTTGACAAGCCACAGGCGAGGGGGCAGAAGGTAATGGAAGCCTTACCTCCATCATGACTAACTTGTCGGGGTAGGCCAGGTCACCCGGGGCTGGCTTGTAGCCAGTGATGTCAGTCTGAATGTAGATGTGGGTCCGGTACACGAGCCGCTCTTGAACATCTTCCAACATCTGCTTTGCACCAGCTGCAAATGCCCCCAGCTGTTCAGCTGGAAAAACAAAGATCCCTCTCTCAATTTAGAAAATGACTTTCTTTTAAACAAGTATAAATACTACTGAATTGTTCAGAAATAATACAAACTACTTTTGCATCAGAAACTCTGGTTCTAGATCAGTGACTCAAATGGCCTTGGACTTATTTTTATTTTAGAGTAGAGAAACAAATTTGCCCAACATGTACCTCCTTACTGGGACTCAGATTTATAATATTATTAATATGAATACTAAATTCTGAATTCTAGAGACAGCTGTGTGCGGTCTTTAAAAATCACTTTTGAAAGTGATTTACATGACTCCGTGTAGCCAGCTTTTCCAAAAGATAGCTAAAGCAAGTTATTTACTGTATTGTTACCATCATTTTATAAATGATGTTAATGACATGTTAGCATTTTCACTAAGAAAGTTAAAATAAAATGGGATTTGAGCTTATACAGTATTTCTTCATCTCTAAGATGCCTTCAATTTTAAAACAAATCAGTAATTCAACAAGTTTGCCAAGACCGAGGGGATTGCAGACACTGTACAACCATGTGAAAGTCATACTAATTTAAGAATTAAATTATAAAATGTGGGAAAACGCACATCTTAGAATTGACTAAGTAATGTAGAGCAAGATACTTTGCGAGAGTTCACAGGCCCACAGTGTCTCCTCAGAAAAAAACAGTAATTGCTATCTCTAAAGTTGTGACTCTAAGTTCTGCTTAAAAGTATTAGCAAAATATGTCAGATTAGATAAAGTAAAGCTGCTCTGAATAATTTTTTACTTGTAATTAAAAAAAGATAATTCACTAATACACACACACACACACACACACACACACACACACTCGCTGCCATTGAGTGGATTGCAACGGAAAGCAATCTTACAGTGTAGAGCTGCCCCTTGTGGGTTTCTGAAGCTATAAATCCCTACAAGACCAAATATCCTCATTTTTTTCCCTCAGATTGGTGAGTAGATTTGAACTGCCAACCTTGTGGTTAGCAGCACACTTCATAACCCACTACACGGCCAGCGTTCTTTACATCATACCCGTACTGTACATGTATGTTAAAATACTTCCTGGTCTTTAATCAAAACTGGATAGTACAGTTGATTACTTCATGTATCCTGATAATGTTGCCGTATGTCAACAAGCCATTTCCGACTCCTGGTGACACTCTGTGACAAAGCAAAAGTGCTCCCCTGAGTTTTCTTAGCATTGATCTTTACAGAGGCAAGGGGCCAGATCTATCTCCGGCAGAACCACTGGGCGTGTTCAGGCTGACCACCTTGAGTCAACAGCAGATCACTTAACCACTGTGCCATGTGGGCTATTTAGTGATAACCAACAACCAAACCACTGCCATCTAGCTGACTCCAACGCACAGCGACTCTATACAGGATGTCTGTGTTTGTATATCTTTACAGGGCAGACAGCCTCACCTTTCTCCCACGAAGCGGCTGGTGGGTTTGAACCACCAACTTTGTGGTTAGCAGCCTGATGCCTAACACACAGCACCACCAGATATGCCTAACCCAACACTGGTGGTTTCCGGACATTTGTGTGCCAGAAGGAAAAGTTGCTGGACTTTTATTGCTAGTTTTGCCCAAATCTTAAAATCCTTTTCCAATTTAGCCGAAGCCCTGATGGTGCAGTGGTTATATGTTGGGCTGCTAAATGCAAGGTCAGCAGTTCAAAAGCACCAGAGGCTCAGAGAGAGAAAGACGGGCCTTTCTTCTCTTGCAATGAGTTACAGTCTCGGAAACTCACAGGGGCACCATCTACCCTGTCCTAGTAGGGTGCTATAAGTTGCCATCAACTCAAAGGCAGTGAGTTTGGGTTTGGGATTTCCCATTTAATTTATGCCTTAAGTCACAGAATAAAGTACGCCTGGATTCAATAAGAGACATTCAATCCAGGCTTCAAAATTACTAAGTATTTTCTAGACAGGAGAAATTTTTCTTTTTCTAGTTCATTGAGCCATTGCTATAATTAAAAAGACCTTTAAGTTAGCATTTCTATTGATCATTTACCATTGTTCTGTACATGATCTTCAAGCACCTCGTTTTTAAGAATCCCACAGAGCTCTGACAGAGTCTCTAAGTGAATAACATGAATGATCAGTGGCCTGAAGACGTCATACAAGGACACACACAGTTTCTCCAAAAGCTCGCTGAAATGAAAGAAGAAAACATGGGCATAAGAAGTCATCTTTGTAAATGTCTAGAAAAGAACGAAGGCAACATATGTACAAATTCGCCTGATGCAAGCGATGCATAGATTGTGACAAGGGTTCTAAGAGTCCCCAATAAAATTTAAAAAGAAGTAATCTTTGCGTGGGACAGGAGGAAAGTGAAAAGAAATAGAAGAACGAACTAGGAGGCAAAAGGCATTTATAAAGATACAAATATAGGCTTGCTCATATGTAAATACATAAATATATTAACAGGAATATAGGTCTAGGTACATATGTTAAAAATGTTAAGTATTAAGGTAGCAGACGGATATTGCGTCTCTACTAAAGTACTCCCTCAATGAACAATTTGTTCTAATAATCTGGCACTCTGTGATGCTTACCTTTCCGACATGATTGCCAAAGTCAAGATGGGTGCATAGGCAAATGCCGTGAAGAAAGCTGGTGGTGCCTGGCTATTAAAAGATATAGTGTCTGGGTTCTTAATGGCTTGAAGTTAAACAAGCGACCATCTAGCAGATAAGTAACAAGCCCACATGGAAGAAGCACACCAGCCTGTGTGATTATGAGGTGCCCATGGGATCAGGTAACAGGCATCAGAAGGCCCAAAACAAATAAATTAATGCACATGATGGGGATCGGAGTGGAGACCCAAAGCTGATCTTGTAGACAATTGGACATTCCCTCACACAAGAGTCACAAGGAAAGAACGAGACAGCCAGGGTGCAGCACAGCACTGACGGAACACACAACATTCCTCTAGTTCTTTAATGCTTCCTCCCACCCACCATCATGACCCCAGCTCTACCTTACAAATCCGGCTAGACTGGAATGTACAATGGCACAGACAAAAGCTCTCGACACACAGAATCCAGGACAGATAAACCCCTCAGGAACAGTAACGGGATCGTGATACCATTAGGGTGGGGGGGAATGGGGGGAGGGAAAAGGGGGAGAAATGGGGAACCATCTACAATTACTGATGTATACCCCCCCCCCAAGGGGATAAACAACAGAAAAATTGGCAAAGGGAGACAGTGGGTGGTGTAAGATATGAAAATAATAATAATTTGTAATTTATCAGGGGTCCAAGAGGGTAGGAGGATGGAGGAGAGGGGGAAAAAAGAGGAGCTAATACCAGTGGCTCAAGTAGAAAGAAAGTGATTTGAAACTGATGATGGCAACATGAGTTTAATTTTGTATGGATTAATGTATGGATTGTTATAAGAGCCCCCAATAAAATTTTTTTTTTAAGTCATTTTTGCCAGATTCACTAACAGTATAAGAAGTGGCTCACTGATTGCTTCCAGCTTAGAGAAAAATAATCTAAAAATAATCAAAAAAGATTTATTATAAAATAGCTTCTGAGCACTTATTATGGAAATTATTTAAACAGTTTTAACTTTTTTTCTAAAATCATTTTATTGGGGCTCATACAATTCATCACAATACATACATCAATTGTGTAAAGCACACTTATACATTTGTTGCCCTCATTCTCAAAATTCGCTTTCCTCTTGGGTTCCTGGAATTAGCTCATTTTCAGTTTTAACTTTAAAAGCTCAGAATAAATAAGCAATCCTTAGCAGTCAATTGTAATCAGTTGTCCCCAACCAAATGACAATTCATTAAAAAATATTCTTTACTTGAGCAACAATTTTATGTATTTTCTTTCTAAAACAACAAAAAGATCTTGGTAGATCAAAGTCTCCTTTTATTTCTACTTCCCTGTGAATCAGACGATGTCACTCTCCCCAGAAAAGAGAGGTTCAGAGTTCCTAATAGATTTATATAAGCAAACCCCAAAGTACTTGGGATACACCAAGTATTTGGAGAAATTTTTTAACATTTGAAAGTGAAAAGATGACGTTGTACATACTTAATATGGTACTATAGAAAGTATTTCATGGACAGTAAAAGCCAACAAAACCATGAAACACTGTTTCTTCCCCATGACAGAGGCCAACTAAATAGCCAATTACAGGAACCCAAAAGAAGTGGGGGCCCCGAAAGACACTAGGGAAGGCCAAAAGAAAGGGCCACTAAACAGTGTCTATACTACAGACATGCCTTTCCTTGGTTGGAATCGGCGTGTGTGGACCAGAAGGAACCATGGTACTTTGTGGAGAGAAGGGCATCTAGATTCCTAGGCCCCTCCCTGCCCTGGACCCAGGTTCCCACCATCACATCAGTCTCCATACTCACATCACAAACCATCTACAAACATACGAGGCCTTGACATTCCACATTTATTTTCAGAAAATACCACTGTCCTAATCCAACAACATTCTATATACACACACAAAGAAACTAAAACACTCTGCAGCTAATACTAGACTGGTTCATTAGTGGTTAACAAATTAAACTCCATATACCACCTACTCTAGTTTTGAGGTTGGTTTTGTGAAAAACTCGTTGTAGAGCTGGTGTTCATCCTGGCAGACATGGACCATAAAGGCACAGCCACTGCGGACCTGTAGCAAACAAGAAACACCACCAAGCAGTTAAAGACACAAGGGGTTTCCACTTCATCGGCAAACAGATTGTTCGTATGTGGTCTTTAACAACACTTTGAAGAGCAGAACCTGGTTGATTTCCAATGCATTCCTGAGTAATAGGACTATGGGTCCTATTTGTTACCCTATTTATGCATTATCTTCTAAACTTTTGACAATAAATTACTTCTCTAGTCAAAGAGTATTTGAAACAAAAATTTAAAAATTTCATGCATCTTCCTGTAGTAGAAATTAAAAATCACACAAACCAGCTCTTTTGCAGCAAAAGGAAAACTAAAATGAAATTGTCTATATAGATGGACAAACTCTGAAATCCCATCTTTCAATGAACAATACATATTTGTGAAACTTGATAGCTCAAATTTATGTCAATACCAACCAAACTTAATTTTTTCCTTGTGACTTGGATGTTCTTAAACCCTCTGAAAATGTTCTCCCTCTAGAGGGCTTTAGTGAATTCTCACTTACCTTCTCACTAACAGATCACTGCCCAATCCAGATCATTCCATTTATCAATAAAATCCTGCCTTAATTTTGATAAAAATTCAAGTTTGCTCTTCAACAATGGATTGAAAGGTTCAGAGTTACAAAGATGTCAACTTTTTCCAAATTCATCTATAGATTCAATGCTCTCCACAACAAAATACTGTGTGCGCGTGCGTGTGTGTGTGTGTGTGTGTGTGTGTGTGTGTGTAAAGGGGGGTGAATGTATGCTCTGATTTTTAAAGTTTGACAATCTTAAAGAAGAAAACAAAGAACTGCAAACAGGGAATCAGGGTAGATGAACTCCTCAGGGCCAGTGGCAAGAGTGACAATACCAGGAGGGTGGAGGGAAGGTGGGGTAGAAAGTGGGGAACCGATTACAAGGTTATACACATAACCTCCTCCCTGGGGGACGGACAACAGAAAAGTGGGTGAAGGGAGATGTCGGACAGGGCAAGATATGACAAAGTAATAATTTATAAATTATCAAGGGCTCTTGAGGGAGGGGGGAGCGGGAAGGGAGGGGAAAAATGAGGACCTGATGCCAGGGCCTTAAGTGGAGAGCAAATGTTTTGAGAATGATGAGGGCAATGACTGTACAAATGTGCTTTACACAATTGTATGTATGGATTGTGGTAAGAGTCATATGAGCCCCTAATAAAATGATTAAAAAAAAAAAATCTCTAAGTTCACTGATAGAGAACCTGTTATGAATTGAACTGTGTCCCCCAAAAAGATATGTTGAAAGTCCTAATTCCTATACCTGTGAAATGTGGCCTCATTTGGAAACAGGGTTGCAAATGTCATTAGTTTAAATTAAGCTAAGGTCATTATGGTGGGCCTTCATCTCTTTCAAACTGATGCCCTAAATCAAGGAGAAGAAACTCAGAGAAGCTGGGAAAGACCAGCGAAGACCTTCCAATAGCTTTTGGAGAGCATGGTCCTATCCACACCCTGAATGTGGACTTCTAAACTCCAAGACTCTGAAACACGAAGTTTCTCTTGTTTTAAAGACACCGTTTCTGTGCTACTCGTTTACAGCAGCTGTAGGAAACTAACACAGTAGTCAAAAATGTATTACTACTCAGGCAGATTTCTTGGGCATCTAACTAGCTCAGGTTTAACATTCAACCAAAGCAAGTCAAAACTTACCAAGGCACAATGGTCTCTGTTATTCTGGCTGGTTAACTCGGTTACAGTACAAGTAATGCTAGGGCCTAGGAGGAGCTCCCGCTGGTCAAGGTAACACTGGTGGATGTCATGGAGGAGTTGTTGGTATCTGAAGGGAAGCAAATGAGACTGCAGTTTGACGTCTGATTTCAGACACCAGTATCCCCACTCTACCAGAGTTCACTTCATTTTTGCGAAAGGCCTTCTTCATGAGAACCTGTGTTCACTAGCCCAGAGCTTCGAGGGAGAATTTCACTTTATAATAAAATGTGAAAAACGAATGAGCACCACAGCAAGCTGTTACAGAGGAAGCGTACACCTCAGACAGCAAGCGATGTCACCACCTTCCTTTCCCGGCAACCACTCTCAGCATCCCGGCGGCGGCGGCGCCTGGAGCTGTCTGGGAGCACCATCGTCAGTGGGATCTGGGAGTTTACTTCGTCTTTAGCATGAATTGGTAGGTTACTGCTGAGTCTGGGAACACTCAAAAACATTGCCCATAAAAAAAGAGGAGCTGAAACCAAAGGCTCAAGTAGAAAGAAAACTGTTTTGAAAATAATGATGGCAACATATGTACAAATGCGCTTGATACAACTGATGTATGGATTGTTATAAAAGCTGTAAGAGCCCCCAATAAAATGATTTCTAAAAAAAATGTTCCCCGTATAAATGGTCACTGCTTCTTCACTTTACTCCATCCCACAGCTTACACAAGGTGTCACCGGAATGCTTGATGTTCACATTGCGGGGTGGGGAGAAACAGCCAGAAACTAACCTAGTTGTAAATCCCAGAACACGATGGCAAGCCTCGAAATTATGTAGTCACCTTACTTGCTCACATTACTAAATGTCTTTCTTTAGAGAAAGAAAAAACAAATCACAACAGGCCTGTATCATTTACAAAAGGATTTCGCTTCTAAGAGCAAGGACTTACATCAACCCAAGTGAGAAGGAAACCCTGCTCGGGAAAAGCTGCCAGGCTTGCCCCTCAGATTAAGTGTATGTAGGTGGTAGTTTCATAATCTGGTGTCAATCTGAGACTACTAAGAGTGAAGAGGTCGAGTCTAGCCTGTCAATCGGGTCACAGCTTGAAGACCTCATTTGGAGGCACGACAGATCAGATATAAGTAGCTCATTGGAGGTCAGACATATACACTCCCTGTGAGACATTCCTGTTGACAAACCACATGGAGCTACGCTGACAGAGCCAGAGCCTTGGAAGTGGAGGAGCCAGGTGGAGACCTATGCCAGCGCCAAGAAGCTACCACCACTGGATCCACAAGACTTTCCACCCACTGGCCTGTGATCTTCCTGCATTCAGCATCACTGCAGGTGTTGTGTGAGTCTGAAGAGGAAACTATAAACTGGAGTTGCTCTGGACTAGGCTGGGATGTTTTCTTAATGTGCAATTGCTCTTTTATATAAAACTCTTTCTTACACACGAGTCTCCCTGGATTTGTTTCTCTAATCAACCCAGACTAACAGTGTATGTTGGAGAAAAGGCCTGCAGCATGTGCTCCAAACGCATCAGAGGCATCCCACTTAGATAAAGAGAATGTTATGAGGAAGGTACTTTGGACATGGGAGAACTTTGGCATACTCACTCAGGTATTTTTTCCGATCGTTGTTCTATTTGTTCAATAAGTGTCTGCAAAACAAAGGAAGATCTATCAAAATCCATCTTACTTAAAACTTCAGTTACAATCCTTTCTGATTATGATAGCATCATAGGCTCATGTTTAAATAAAGAAGTAAAATGATCATAAAAGTCACCTACATTGTGAAAAAAATCACCTGTTAAGGTTGTAATATTCTTTCAGTTGATAGATGCATAGTTTGTTTTTCTTTATTTAAAAAAAGGTGGAATTATGCTAGACTCAGTTTTATAACCTGTTTTGCTTCAGTTAATGTTATTTTATCAACATTTCCCTATCACAAAACAATGTTCATTAGATGAAAATGTATAGTGCAAAAAGCCAAAGCAGTATCTGCACCTAGTAAACACTCAACGAATTACTATCATAAATATTACCTCACACATCACTTTATGTGGCTACGTACAAAGGGGCTTCAAAAAGTTCAAGGAAAAATTTCACTATCTTTTTAATTCAATTTCCCAAGAACTTTTTGAAAATTCCGTTTTTTAATTCCATTTTCCATGAACTTTTTGAACTCACTTATCCATTGGGTAGATGGACATGTGGACTTTCTTCTGTTAAGACAGGTAGATTGTGTTTGATTAAGAGCTCTGGGCCTGGATTGAAGCTACAGGGGCTCAAGCGCCCACTCCATCACCCCTCAGAAGGTAGTAGTTTGAACCCCGGGAAGGTGGCTTACTTCTGAGATTCCACTCTCTGTGATGTCAAACTGATACCGTCAAGGGACTCACAAAGTGCTGTATAGCTGCGATGATGTCATGCATGCCTCACACTGAGCACAGTGCCCGGCACCTTGCAAGCACTCCCACCATATTTACTGTTACTTGCTTGCCTCTCATATGATTTCGTATTGACTTTGGGACTATTTTGTACTGAATTGTGTCCCCAATAAAGTTGTATTGAAGTCTTAATGCTCACACCTAGAAATATGACCCTACTTTGAAAATGGGGGTTTATATGAATGAGCGTACCCCAAACCTCATCCCCTTCCCAGTAGTGTCTTATAATAAAAGTGGTGTCACACTTTATCTTCCAAAGCAGCAGATCTGACAGCATCACTGCTGTTTAAAACACTTCATTGGTTAGCCACTTGTCCCACACTAGCATGATCTCTAGTGCCCCTTGTACAATCGGTCTCTGTATTGTTCCTGGCTTCTTTCCCAATATTCCGCTCACGTCCTACGTTCCACTTATACAGTTCTCACAAAAGGCATGTCCTTTTCTGCCTGTACATCCCTTTAGCATACCATTCTCTCTGTAAAAAACAATCCTTATCAATCCCTTGAAGTCTACCTGGTGAACTCTTTGTAAGCTCAAATAATGTGTTCCTCTAGAACCTCCCCAAGTATCCTTTCACTCACTGTTGGTACTGCCCCAGAGACCCTACAGGACAGAGCAGAAGGGCCCCTGTGGGTTCCCGAGACTCGACTGTCTGCGGGAGCAGAAAGCCCAGTCCTCCCGCACAGCGGCTGATGGTTTCCAACTGGCGACCTTTCGGTTAGCAGCCGACGTGTAACCAGTACGCCGCCAGGGCTCCTCTGAGCATCTGAAGGAGAACTAAATGCTCTGCTGTAGTGTACTTTCCATTCATGGTCACATCCGTGTATTATCACAGAGCCTGACATACAGTAGGACTGCAGAGGGCTGGAGAAATAAAGTTCAGAGCAACACTCCACTTAAGCCAAAAGACTTACTCTGACTTTGGGGGCAGCAGCTCGAAATTTCACATAGAATAGTGTGAATGCGTTGTCTGCATTAGGTACAGATGAAGGATCCTGAAGAAACACGGGTAGGAAAAGATGAAAATAATTAGCAAACAAACATTTATTTGCAGAATATGACACTGCCTAGCAGAAGGCTATCACTTGCTCTGTTAAATCAACTAAAGGCTTAGGAGGGAAATGCTAAGAGATTAAATTTTACGATAGTTATAAATTAATTATAGAGCTGTCATCTCTTTCCCCTTTATAGTTAAAGTTTACCTTATATTACATGACACTTGTGGATAAACAGACCTAGAATCAGGTTCACACTCTGTCCCTTACTGGGTTTGGAGGAATGGCCAAATTATCCTTCTTTTGTGAAATAGTTCCCTGCCTCCTTACAAGGGAGCAACACACCAGCAGGGTGGCGCAGTGCAGTTCAACGGTACACCACCTGGCAGCTAGTAGGCACTAGATCATAGTGCCCAAATTTTTTTTTAATCGTTTTATTAGGGGCTCATACAACTCTTATCACAATCCATACACACATCAATTGTGTAAAAGCACATTTGTACATTCATTGCCCTCATCATTCTCAAAGCATTTGCTCTCCACCTAAGCCCCTGGCATCAGCTCATTTTTCCTCTCCCTCCCTGCACGCCCCTCCTTCATGAGCCCTTGATAATTTATAAATTATTATTTTATCATATCTTGCCCTGTCCAACGTCTCCCTTCACCCACTTTTCTGTTGTCCATCCCCCAGGGAGGAGGTCACATATAGATCGTTGTAATCAGTTCCCCCTTTCCAACCCATCCTCCCTCCACCCTCCCAGTATCACCACTCACACCACTGGTCCTGAAGGGATCATCCGCCCTGGATTCCCTGGATTTCCAATTCCTGTCTGTACCAGTGTACATCCTCTGGTCTAGCCAGATTTGTAAGGTAGAATTGGGATCATGAAAGTGGGGGAGGAGAAGCATTTAGGAACTAAAGGAAAGTTGTATGTTTCAACGTTGCTACATCACACTGACTGGCTCATCTCCAACCCAAGACCCTTCTGTGAGAGGAGGTCCAGTGGCCTACAAATGGGCTTTGGGTCTCCACTCCGCACTCCCCCCTCATTCACTATGGTAAGATTTTTTGTTCTGATGATGCCTGATACCTGATCCCTTCGACACCATAGTGCCCGAAATTTACTTAAAAGTTCACAAAATAGAGAAATCAATATTCTAACTATTCTGTTAACAAAGCAATGTGAGGAGTAAAATAGTTTAACTTCGAAGAAGCAACACAAAAATCAGAGCCTCTGAATTCAAAATATCCGTATGCTGCCCCATCCGGGGGATGGGGAGTTTTAGAAGGAGGTGGTGGTGGTGATCCCAACATTACAATTATGTCACTAAATTGTACCCTTAAATGGTTAAAACAGCAAATGTATGTTACATATATTTTACCACAATAAAATTAAAATGGCTCTTTAAAAAAGATGCCATCCGTGTTCTTTAGGAACTTAAAAAAAAAAAAATCAATATATAACCTTTCATTCTCTTGTGTAAAACCGTGCTCAATGACAACCCAAGTTAGCCTTTCCCATTCTCTAGCCGAGCACCCTGTGGATTTCTCCTATGTCACAACGTTGCTCCTATGTCAGCAGCGCCAGCAGCCTCAGTAGCAGCTGCAGCAGCAGCAGCAGCAGCAGCACGGGCAGCAGCAGCAGCAGCAGCAGCGCGGGCAGCGCCAGCAGCCTCAGCAGCAGCAGCCCCACAGAGCTACCCTCTGTGCCCCAGTCCACCCTCAACCCCAAGCCTGGGGTGGTGGCGCAAAGACTCGCACTGAGGACGCCTCAAACTTGTAAATAAGATGTTTACTATGGTTTGTAAAAAAAACCTATGTGGTTTTTCTCCAGTGATTACTGCTTCTGAAAGTGGGCTCCACAGGTATGCGGGCACCGCTCTGCTACTGTGCAGTTTCTAGTTCATTACCAGGCACTGAGAAGGCTCGCCGAAAAGATACATTTAATTTGTTCACGGAGAAGGTCATGAAAAATACACTAACGTTTAAAAAAGAAATTACAAATTACTCATTAGGCATGATCCCATCACTCCACTTTTACAATTTTGGTTTATTTCCTCCCAATATTTTCATGAAAAAGATAGAAAAGAAACTGTTTTAAATTACAAATGCATTGTACCTTACTTCGTGATCTATCATACAGTACTGGATAATTTTACACTGTCAAATACTCTTTGAAAATAAAACTATAATGGATACATGGCCATTTCACTTTATTCTATAAATAAAATTGCAATGCATACTCTTACTGGATAAAACGTAAAAGTGTTTTAAATTGGGAACCAATTACAAGAATCTACCTATAGCCTCCTCCCTGGGGAATGGACAGCAGAGAAGAGGGCGGGGGGGAGACGTCGAACAGTGTAACATATGCCAAAATAATAATAACTATGAATTATGAAGGGTTCATGAGGGAGGGGGGAGGGAGGGGGAAATGAGCAGCCGATATTAAGGGCTCAAGTAGAAGGCATATGTTTTGAGAATGATGATGGCATATATGCTTGACCCAATGGATGGATGGATGGATGGATTGTGATAAGAATTGTACAATCCCCCAATAAAATGATTTTTTTAAGTGTTTTAAATGTCAGACTAAGATTATCGAGGATTAATGAATCCATGATTGATTGACTTATTTTGAAAGTCTGTTCCTGCAGGGGCTAACTTACCCTTTTCAGTAACTGGTTAGTGAGGTTCTGTAGTGTGTTCACAGTGTACGACTTCATGAGATGCAACGCTTTAGAGAGACACTGCTTAAACTTCAGCAAATATACAGGATAATCTTTAAAATTTGGCTGAAAGGGAAAGAGAATGATTTACATAGAGGAACCACTGGCAAAACAAACTTCCAATGAAAAGCCACAGCACTCTTGCATAGTTACATGTTTATATACACGAGGAGACGAAGTCAAAAACTCCATGGAAAACAATGCAACTAAAAGATCATGGAATTTTTCCACAAACTTCTTGAAGTTCCCTTTATGTATGTGGGGACACACACGCAGCCCCCCCTCCCCCCCCACACACATACAGTTTCCTAAACTTAAAGTCTTACATAGCTCTTAAGATCACAAACACTCTGAATGCCTTTCTCAAAGCCAAATGCCTTGTGCCTTGGCACATGAACAGAAGTTAATAAACAGTTAATCGGCAGCTGTTAAGCAATTACAGGAGCCCTGGTGGCATAGTGGTTACACACTGGGCTGCTATTTATAAGGTCAGCAGTTCAAAGCTACCAGCTGCTCTGAGGAAGACAACATGAGTTTTCTATACTCCCGTAAAGAATTAAAGTTTTGGAAACTCACGGGGGAATTTTTAGCCTGTCCTGTAGGGTCACTATGAGTCAGCATCAACTCAAAGGCAGTGAGTTTGAGAGGTTTTACTGTTATCAATTATGTATTTTCATACGCTAAGGACTTCAGGGAGCCCTGGTTACTAGTTGGACCACTAATCGTACGGTCAATAGCTTGAACCCACCAGCCGCCCCGCGGCTTCCTGCTCCTATAGAGTTGCAGTGTCAGAAACCCACAGGAGCAGTTCCACTCTGTCCTGTGGTCGTTCAGACTCAAGGAGGTCGAATTTGAAGGACTTCGGACCAATAAGGAAGGTCCACTTAAGGAAAGGGTATGAGTTGGGAAATCAAATCAAAGGTTTGTTCTTTTATTTACCACAGCATAGAACTTTCTGTTTTCAGAAGAAATATCTACAACAGGGGAACAACAATCTAAAAATGGAACATACTTTCAAGTGGGAAAAGGAAGAATAAGCTGTTATTCCAAAGGCTGCCTCTTTCATAGCACTGTTAATATCCACAATGGGTTTACTGCAATTTTTCTCTTTAGAAGAAATCATTGTGATATAAAGGAAGTTAAGCTTTCTTTAAAAGATGCAGAACTAACATACTTACATGAGATGAGATATACGTTATACAATCATCTAACTTGGCCAGCATAGGTATAAATCCTTCACTATTCACAGACAATGTAGGGGAATTCAATTTCTTTAAGGAAAAACATGGGAAAAAACTATCTTAATTCACAAAAGAAAGATGTAGGTAAGCATTTTAAATTCTCAGAATAAGCATATGTCTTTTACAACACAGTTGTACAATTGGATTTGAAAATGTTTGTGGGGGGAAAATTCTATTACTTTTTAAATCTGTTTTCACATGAACTTTTGTGTTAACATCTTTACATTTAAATGTCACCAAAATACCCTTAAATGCAACCCATGCACAGCTATAAATAAAGAACAAAATGTTTTAAACACTAACTGAATTTAGTTTATTCCTAATGACCCTTAAGGGGGTCTTGGTGGACAAGCAAAGGCTTTGCATCGCTTCACTGTTCAATTTTACACTAAAATATTACACTAAGTGCCTACAGTTCCCATTTTCTAGTCCTCTACAATAGACGTAATTTTCCATTTCAAACACTGGTGCCTTTTTAAAAATAAATAATATTTAACAGTCAACAACGAAAATAAGACATCACAATACACAAGCAGCTTGATGACAAAGCAATAAACTATTTCCCACTGCATTCCATTATTAATTAGATCCCCATTTTACAAATGTCTCCTTAGTAAAGTATGATAAACACACTAATTTAATAACTTTAATACAATCTTTCTTGGAACTACTGTTCTGGAGTACACATACGCCTTCCGAGAGCTGCACTTCTGTAGCTAGACATGAGTGTAGTCTTTCACAAAATCGTTTGATTAACACAACCACAGCTTTTTAAAAAAAGTTAATATTTCTTATAATCTTCGTCACAGCTTACAAATGATTCCTTAAGAAGTAATCAACAAGATATTTTGATAACAATAATTTTAGAATACTAGTTAAATCTGAATTGATAATGATTAGCTATAAATTAAGATGTCTTCAAGCAAGCTCACAAGTATATTAGAGTATCACTCAAGTCAATTACAAGTTTAAAGATTATGTTCAGAGAAAAATAAAATTACCAGGAGTACTAAAGGCACTAAAAATACTACTTTACAGGAAATAGAAAATGAGGCTTACTGTGTTAATAGTTTCCAATTCATTAAAATAGGAAAGCTTTTGTTGAATACTTTCAGCCAGATGAACAAGTTCCGACTACATTTTTAAAAAGAAAAGACAATTAATTACAAAGGGTAACTGTAGTCTATCAAAGTTACACTGAACAGGTTTCTATTACACATGTAAGTCTACAATGCACATAAGATTTCCGGTTAATGCTCAGATTTATGTAAACATGAACTAAAACTGGTAATGAGTATCCCAGGAGGTGTCCCCTGGGTTTTTTATAAAACAATAATCACCTTTAAAAAAACACAGAAGTATGGATTGTGATAAGAGTTGTATGAGCCCCTAATAAAATGATTTTAAAACGAAAGAAAGAAAGAAAGAAAAGGATGATGGCAATAAATGTAAAAATGTGCTTGACACAATGGGTGGATGTATGGATTGTGGTAAGAGTTGTACGAGCCCCCAATAAAATTATTTAAATTTAAAAAATTTAAAAATTTTTAAAAAAGACAAGGGAGGGAGGGGGGAAAAAGAAGAGCTGATAGCAAGGGCTCAATACAAAGTAAATGTCAGAAAAGAATGATAGCAACACATGTACAAATATGCCTGATTCAATTGATGTATGGATTATTATAAGGGTTGTAAGTTCCCCCAATAAAATGATCATTAATTTAAAAAATGTTAAAACACACACACACACACAAATGTCCACAAAGGAAACTCCTGAGATAAGCATAATACATTAAACATTCCATCTCTAGGTGACACGTTTAAATGCAATCTGTTATCGGTTGATCTTTACCCTATCATCATCAGCTTTTCTGAAGTGTGTCAATAATAAAGGGTAGACAAGAGCAAACTAATACATCCCCTTCACTGCAACCCTGCACCGAGACCTAGAGAACCTAATGCAGAAAAGCTCACCTTGGCCCATTACCATAAATGGATTTAAGTGAGAAGTAGGCTGTCAACATTCTGAAACACACGCTCTCCCCCCAAGGGCCCCATATATACTTGGAGAAATCAATGACATTCAAATTAAACTGTGTTCATCTATTTCAAAACTAAATCTAATCACTGACCCCTTGCTCCAACTCCAAATTACCTGTTCTTTGAGGAGCTGTTCACAGGCTTCGTGTAGGGCTCCTGTCTTATTAGACACAAAAAGATACTGTTTCTGCAATGACTCCAGATGCTGAAGAGCATTGTTTACATCATTCAATATAGCATCACACTGCTCCTGAAACCCAGACAAGTAATCCCTCATCTGTCTAGAAAACAGAACCAAAAGGGAATTGACAATAATACTTTCCCCAATAAACAGAGCCAAGAAACAATAAAGCCTCGTTCTTCCCAAATGTTTGATTTTCAGGAGGAATGTTAAAACCAAAATCAATTCTATTCACAAATGTATCAAACATTATCTCATCTGCTGTCAACCCTTAATAATGGCAAATACTGTAGGTGATAAATCAGTTATGAAGCTACAAACCAGTTGTTCCCATGGAAGAGAAAAAATTGTGGCTCAACTTTCAAAGACCAGGACATTCTGGAGAATCAATTAAGGTCAATTTTCAAGTCACTTTCACCTTTGAGAGGTGACGTGATGCAATAGAAGGAACACTACTAGACGTGGAATTAAAAGACCAGGTCCAGCTCCCACCTCTGTCGAGTCTCTGGGACAGAGCCTGCTGCAAAAACACTTTCCTCACTGATGAGCTATGTGGATTAAATTGGATCCTACATCAAAGTGACAAACACAAATGCCAAAATGTCCAGTAAGAATAGTATATGAATACTAATTCCATGAAAATGCTCAGCCTACATTCCCCAAATTATCTAAAATTTTCTGTAATATTCCCCACACTATCAGCATATACAAATACAACAGCACAGTTATAAATAACCTGGGTTGCCCTCCTGAAAGCTGCCTCTAAAGTCTCTTGGGTCATCCTTTATAAACAAAAGCAACAAACACCTACATTTCCAGAAAACTTAATAGTAGATGGAGTTATAATGTCTAGCCCTCCCTCCCTATTAAGTATAACAATACTCTTTTTTGGTAATTGCGCAACTTCCAATACCAGTTGTAATGACCCAAAACCTCTCCCTGACTCTTCATAAAAAAATACAGTGCTAAAAAATACATAAGTATGGTGCTATGGGAATGTCCTTGCATCTGAATTTTGTTTTGAAGACACATACTGTAATGAACATCAGACGTCTATGTTCTAAACTCCAGAAAAGCCACAAATGCAGGAGCCACATACCTGTATTTAGCTCCTTCATCCTGATCCATCTGAGTTTGGAGCTTTGCAAACCAAGAGAAAAACTGGGGAAGGAAGAGGATTAAATTGACAACAAAACCAAAACAGAATGAAAGTGGCTACAGGCCACACAGCAAGTCAAGATGGTAAATACTATTTCAGTTTTATTGCTTTGGGCTCAGACATTAATAATTAGTTGTAAACCAGAGGAAGACAATTTCATTATATATTCAATACCCACATACTAGAAAACGAACCAGGTATTCACAACATGGGCCATCTTCAGGGTCATATAAGGAAGGATAGTAGATATAATTACATATGTGCTCGTTTGCTGAACTTGAGGATATACAAGGGGGTCCCCAAAAAACATGGAATCCCCGGGCCCAAAGCTATGTATAGAAATTTTTTTACAAAGCAACCATATCACCTTCAAAGTACTCTCCCTTACACTTAATACATTTGTCAAATCTGCAATTCCATTTTTGGAAACATTTTTCAAACTCATGTGTTTGGATGGCTGATGTACAGTACCTCCCTCGTTTTTTTCTTCAGCTCTTCTACATAGTCAAATCACTGTCCTTTTATGGCCCTTTAAATTGAAAGAAACAAAGAAGTTTCACAGAGCAAGGTCAGGTGAGTCAGGTGTGCGGGGCAAGAGAGGCATGCTGTTTTTTTCAGAAACTGGTGCACTGAGATGTCTGCATGAGCAGGTGCATTGTCATGGTGGCAAAACCAGTCCCCCACCTGCCACAAATCAGGCTTTTGGTGGCACATTGTTCCGCTGTCTTTTCAGAACCTCTAAATAGAAAGCTTGATTAACAGTCTGACCTGGTGGAATGAACTCCAAATTCACTACGAGTGGACATTTTCTTCCATTTGGAAGTTGATGAATGTCCAGAACAAGGTTTGTCATCAATCCACATTTCACCTTTTTTGAAATGAGAATACCACTCGTACACTTGAGTTTTTCCCATAAAGCTATCCTTGTAAGCTGTGTTCAACATCACAAGTTTCCACAGTAATTTTCTCCAGCAGGAAACAAAATTTCATAGCCACACACTGTTCTCTTAAGTCGGCCATCACAGAAAATGAGGCTCAAGTGAAACTGCTTTTATGAAAATGTTCACTATGATCAGATATAACCTTCCTAGGCAATGCCACTCGATGCACTAACCCAGAGCAGAACTGTTCCATGCTCGCCTAGTGGAGAAAAATGCATACTACCCTAGTGGAGCTTTTTACCTTTGGGGGTTGTTTTTTTGGGGGGGTTACCCCCCTCATATCATAGAGCTTTGGGTAAATGTTATCGAATGAGAAATAGGGGAAATTAAACTCAGAAATAATATAAACATGAGCTTGGGCATTAGCCAAACCTAGGTGTGAATTCTAGGCCAATGTTGTGGAAAGTATCTTTAAAAAAAAAAAAAAAGGAGGGGAGATGCTGTTGACCTTAAATGGCATGAGAGTTGTCTTGGGGTGACAAATGTTTTATACCCTGATTGCAGTGGCAATTACATAGATATGTACATCTGTCAAAACTCATTAAACTACCTGTACACTTAAAATGAGCACATTCTGCTGTATGTAAATTATAACTCAATAAATTCCATTTAAAATTTTTAGATATATAAGTATACAATTCAACCCAGAAGATACTTTTTAATAGTCCAATGAAGTTCACTGACTTGATACAAGATTATTGTTTTCAACTCTCAAGCAAGATTGTATGTCAAGGCATCCTCTCTAGCAGGGGTCCTCAAACTTTTTAAACAAGGGGCCAGTTCACTGTCCCTCAGACTCGCTGGAGGGCCAGACTATAGGTTAAAAAAAAACTGAATAAATTCCTATGCACACTGCACATATCTTATTTTGAAGTAAAAAACAAACAGGGCAAAAATGCATGGCGGGCCAGATAAATGTCCTCGGCGGGCCGCATGTGGCCCGGGTGCCGCAGTTTGAGGACTCCTGCTCTCAAAACACAAGGCCGTGGCTACTGCTGACTGAGCATTTATTGTGTGCATTTATATGTACTTTCTGATTTAATGTACCGGGAAAAACCCTGTAAGATCCATATCATAATGACCTCTCTTTTACAGATTAAGAAACGAAAGAACTAAGAAGTTAAGCTCACAGGACAGAAAGTGGAGCTTTGAAAGCCAGCTCTGCCTAACTCAAGAGCTCTTGCTCTCCACTGCTCTGCACACTGCCTCTCTCAACTTATTCCATGTACAGTCCATTCGATTTGCTGGGTGTTTTACTCGGTAAAAGCCTCAGCTTTGATTCTTAACAGGATAAAGAAAGGAGACAGAAGAGGCAGCAGAAGAAACTATTATACATTTAGATTTTTAATTAGGAAAAGGCAAAAACCAAAAGAAGCATTCCGCTTGCTAAATTACTAAAGAAATAAATGTGAATGTGATCTAAAAGGAAATTCAGGTTTCTAAAAAAGGGATCATCTAGTGGCAAGCAGAGAAGTGTGTGTGTGTGTGTGTGTGTGTGTGTGTGTGTGTGTGTTATGTATGTGTGCTGGGGTGACAGGTTAACTAACACTGACAACACTGGGGGTATTCAGCAGTCCATAAAACATCCCCACTTTAAAAATCAGCATCCACACTTGGAATATCATATTTTAACACTATTATAACTATAACTAGGTAACTGAGAGACTTAAGATACTTGAAAGATAACCACTACGTACACAAAATCAAGAATGTTCAATAAAATGATTTTTTTTAAATAGGCATTATCCATAAGAAGAAGATAGAAATAACCAAAATTCCAACCAGTGGAGGAATAAAAAATATTCTACATGTACAACGGGATACTATGTATCATTAAAGAACAATGAAAGGACCTGATGTTAGAGGTTTAAGTGGAGAGCAAATGTTTTGAGAATGATGAGGGCAATGAATATACAAATGTGCTTTACACAATTGAAGTATGTATGGATTGTGACAAAAGTTGTATGAGCCCCTAATAAAACAATTTTTAAAAAAAGAACAATGATAAAACTGTCCAAAAAATAAACAAGCCAAAAGAAGAGAACGTTGATAGAACGAGTAGGAAAATGAAACACCAAGAAAACACTTGCATTAGTTTTGCACAGTGTTTTCACCGTGTGTTTGTGTTACAAAATACAAATTGGGCATTTCACATGTGAGATGCATGTTTAATTTGCATTAAAACTAGAATTGTACAATTAAAAAAAGAATGTTCAAGAAAAATGACATTCACTATCATTTCAAATGTTCAGAACTTTTATTTATTTTAATTATTAATAATTTTAATGGGGGACTCTTACAAATCTTGTTAACAATCCACCATTTAATTATATTAAGCACACTTGTACATATATTGGCATCAACATTTCCAAAACATTTTCTTTCTACTTGAACCCTTGGTATTAGCTCTTTTTAGTTTGTTGTTTTGTTTGTTTGCTTGTTTTTTAATTATTTTATTGGGGGCTCATACAACTCTTATCACTGGGTCAAGCACATTGTACATTGTTGCCATCATCATTCTCAAAACATTTGCTTTCTACTTCAGCCCTTGATTAGCTCCTCTTTTTTTGCCTCTGTCCCTCACCCTCCCACCACTGTGAATCCTTGATCAATTATATATTATTATTGTTATCTCATGTCTTACACTGTCCATTGTCTCTCTTCACACTATGTGTATTCTTTCCGCCTTGTTTTGTAGTTTACTGCATTATTCTTTTTGTGTGTGTGTGATTAATCACTATGCTTTATGTTTAATTATGTTCAATTTTACAGCAAAATACATCCTGCATATCAGATATTTACATTATGATTCATAACAGTAGCAAAACTACAGTTATGAAGTAGCAATGAAAATAATTTTATGGTTGGGGGTCACCACATCATGAGGAACTGTATTGTGTGTGTGTGTGTGTGTTTTGAGACACCGAAAACATAGCAGATGTCCTTAGAAAAGATGCTGCTACTCACCTGCTGAGCAGTTTCAATTCTTTCATCTTCCATCTCTAAGGATGTAAAGCCCTTCGTGAGAATGTCTTCCATAGATTCAGGCACCACTGAAGACGGGGAAACCGGCAGTGGCTGGGATGTTATATTGCTGAAGTCTTCAAATGGAAGCTTAAAAAGAGTCATAAAGATATTTACACATGAAAGGTCTCTGAATCTAACTCAAGATAGGTTCCCACCTGAGTTAGTTAATTGTGCCAACCTGGCCGATAATCACATGTGGGGCTTATTGAAAGGCAGAGGGATAAATGGGTGGTGAGCCTCGCCTTTCTGACTCTGGGGTCTCTTGCTTTGTGATGGTCACACCAGGGTGCAGCTGCCTTAGCAGTTCCCTGCTTCAACTTGCAAGATTGACTTCCTACAAGACATCCTCAAGGAGAAGCCGCATGGATCTATCCCGATGCAGCCCTGGGTGCTGGAGCAGCCGTGTGGAGACCCCTGCCAGTGCTGAGATGCTTACACGTTCACTGACTCAGCTTTCCTCCTGCTGTCGGCATCGTTGCCTCTGTTTTGTGAGGTGGAGGACTTTGTGGACTGGTGTTGGGTTAATGGGTTAATGTTGGACTTGTGGGCTTGGGCAGCATTGGGTTGGGATGTTTTCGTGATGCACACTTTCTTTACATAAAACTCTCTTATACATGAGTTGCTGTGGATTTGTTTCTCTAAAGTACCTAGACTAATACACCACCTACGTAAGGTGTTTTGGAAGAGACTGGAATGTGTCCCATTACATCATTCAGTGTTAATACACAGCATAGAGCTCTCTATGCTAAACACTGGTCTCACAGTGCAATGGTGACACAGATGCCCCCCACCAGTAAGGTACAAGGAACAAGTTCAGTGTCCCACCAGTTTCTGAGGAGCCTCACATCAACTTGTAATACCTAATAGCTTGGACTACAAAGGGGAGCACACCTAGAGTGCTTTCTTAGTTCTTTACAACTAACATTAGGACAGGTGCTAATTCCCCTGCAGCCAGAGATAAACAATATATAGACCTAAAAGAATGAAGCAGATGCTGGGGAAGGGAAGAGTCTAAGCCTCTAAATTCAATTCTAGTGTTTAGCCCTTAACTCATGATATTTAAGGTCCTTCAGTAAGCGATATGACCCAAGGATTCTCTATCTAATTATGTGAATGAAGCATTTTTTTGAAGACAGTATTTTCTCTCAAAGCTAAATTAAGCTAGATGCAAATGACCCATCGCTAATTTGAAGACCTTCCTAAATGCAACCTTTTAACATGCCCAGTTGTACAGCACAGTAAGAGGGCAGCCTGGTTCGAATCCTACCTCTGTGACACAAGCTGTGTCACAAGCTGTGTGACAGTGAACAAGCTACTCAGTGCTTCCAACCCTCCATGTCACCTCTGTGATGCAGGAATGACAGAGACTGCATCAAAACGAAGGAGAAGGCACAGGTGGAGGAAGACAGGCTTCTTGGAATGCTGGAAAGCTGTAGGCATAAAGTCCTCAACCAGCTTTCTCCCCACTGATAGTTGTAAATATGTCTCAGTAACATCAACTGTCCATGTGAACCCTTTCAGAAGGATGACATCATGCTAGGTATGAAAGACAATTGTCCCACAGTAAGAACTGTGTGGTGAAGGCCCAGTGGGAATCTATCTGGAGCCTACAGTGTCGCCATCAACTGTGAGCTACCAGCAGCTAAGCTCCAGTGACGCTATGCTGAGATCAGCTGCATCTGCTCCGGCTCAGTGGAACTACTTCAGTTGCCAACAACAACCTGTCTCTTTGGGGAAGGCGTGGGGATGGAGGGGCACCTTTTCAGGCCAAAAGGTAACCCACACTAGAGGACAAGTACTCAATGAAGCTCAGTTACTCCCCCTTATCATATTAGTAATAAACGTATTAATAACCATGAATAAGGAAGACCAAAGACGTGATCTATTTGAATTATGGTGCAGACAGAGAGTTCTGAAAATACCACGGACTGCCAGAAGAACAAACAAATGTGCGCTGGCAGAAGCACAGCGACACAGGCTGTCAGAAGCTAGGACGGTGAGACTTTGGGCATGTTATCAGGAGACGCCGTCCTTGAAGGAGGACATCAATCTTGGTAAAGCAGAAGGTCCACAAGAAAGAGAGCCTTCGAGGAGACAGACTGACACACTGGCTGCCACAAGGGGCTCACACCTAACAGCAACTGAGAGGACGGCACGGACCGGCAGGGTGTCCTTCTATCGTTCAGAGGGCCCCTGCGAACCAAACCTGTGTAAGGCACCTAACAACACCCCTAACAGTAGACTACGTGGATTTAAAACTCGGATCGTCTCCTGCCCTGGAAAACAGAGAATAGCAATCTTTCAAAATATGTATTTGTAAGTAGTAACATAGTTGCTCCTTGTGGGCTCCTCCTTTTCACTGACCCTCTACTTTATCAAGCCTGATCCTCCAGGGACTGGCCCTTCTGGATGGCATGCCCAAGGTATGTGCTCCTAACCTCCCTTTTAAATACGCCAATACTTTCTTCCCTGTTATGCTCAAATTCTGTTCCTGGTATCACTTCTTTTCAGATGGTCAAAAATTTCTTAACATTTGCATCCTGATTAGTCTGATTTTTCAAATTATACCATACACTTTGGGGCTTCCAGAAACTTGGCAAAATTCCACCTCCTGCGACACCTTCCTTGTTTGGGGTGGCCACACCTTCATTATTGTCATTTCAAAGAGATCCATGCGTGACATGTATGTGTGCTCCATCTGTCATTTTGACTCGAGATGTTTCTTTTCTAATTTACTTTACAAATATGATTGTATGAAAACGCTACACTTGAGAAGCTACTGGAGATATTCCAGGTATATTCTGTTATCAGGATGTTGTAAGAAAATACCGAGATGATCTGAATTTGAAAAGAACGTTGTATGAGATTACAATGACCAATACTAACTACTCTGCAATCATACTAACTTTTATATACCAGAAGCAGGCGGCTTCCAGTTTCCTTGTTCTAACACAATGCTATTTTCTCTCAAAGCAAGCAGGAGCAAAGCAACGCTGCAGCCATTTCGAAGACTACGTTTTAGTAACAAAACAAATTCTTTTATTTTTTATTTCTTTTATTCATCATTTTATTGGGAACTCTTACAGATGTCATAACATTCCATAATTCAAATAATTCAAGCATAATTGTACAATTGCTACTACAGTCAGTTTCAAAACATTTTCTTCTTGAAGTCTTTGCTATCAGCTGCCCTTTATCCCCTCCCTTCCCCCCAGGAACCCTCATTATTGTTATATATCATTATTATTATATATATGAATATATACACTTTTTTAAGCCGTATCTTACCCCATCCAATATATCCATTCACCTACAATTGTTATTTGCTCCCAAGTCCCTTTTTAATAGCCTGCTACCTCCCTCAGGTACGTGTGCCCACTGCCCCTGGAATACAGTAGCCAATCAGACAGAGGGAGGGTGTGTGTGTGTGTGTGTGTGTGTGTGTGTTTTGGGGGTGGGGTGTTAACCACAAGCATCCCTGCTCTGCCCTCCCACTCACTTCTGAAGAGGAGACAGGCCAGAGAGCACCAGTACACAGAAGAGCGCAAAGCTGGGTTCGTGGTGAGCGGGCTCAAAGGGCTACTGTACAGCGCTCTATGCAAATAGGGACATGACACGAATATATTAAAAAACAACTACCGTAGGCTAGCAACAAACACACCTTTCTCTCCCAAGCATTACTGCCCTGCAGCAGTTCTGGGTCGTGGAAACTCACTTTCCATAACAATCTAATCCATCTGTTTCCTAACTAAACCTGGCTGTTGCTTTCTCTTGAGAGTAAGCCCTTGAAAAGGCAGATATGGAGGCTAGAAATCTTCCCCTGGTCTCCCCTTTGGTCTGCGTGACACCTAAACCCCTTCAGTTTAGCATAGTCACCACCCAATGCAGATCATTTGACAGAAAACTCAAGAACAACACTAGTCAATCATTTGCACTTTGCAGTTTTCATGTAGTTCTCACAAATCCCCAGGAGATCCGTACTATTACAATCTCGTCTTATAAAGAAGGGAGACGTTAAAATTTCTTAAGGTCACACACCCTCCAAGAAAACAACTCCTGCAACAGTACTGCCCCCAAGTTCACGATAAATTATTTTAGCTCCTGTGACTAAGTTAAACTAAGTTCCTGTCACTCATTAAACTAAGTTCAGTGTACTATACGAAGGAAAATGTTTTCACAACACAAAGCTTGCCCTGAGCCCCGGACACAAATCCACCTAATATTCTACTGGAAACCATGTTCTCTAACGACAAATAAAAGGTAAGACTCAAAACAAAAACCAAAAATGGTTCACTCCTTTCTCAGGTAAGACTCACTGCCATGGGATATTTGGACTCACGGTCAGCCTGTAGGGCGGAGTAGAACTGCCCTTTCCTGGGGTTTGGTTTTTGTTTTTTGCTGCTGTCATTTTTTGTTATGCAGCATATACAGGGGCAAAATATAATACAACAAGCTGATGTGTGTAACATGAACTTAGGCTTTCAAATGAATCATGAACAGAATAAAAATGCCTCTTTCAACATAATACAAAATGACACCGTTACGACGTCAGAGGCCTGGGGGTGGCAGCCCATATGAGCAGCCTCCCCTCCTAAGTGCACACTGGAAAACAAAGATCGAAGGCAAAGGGCAGTTTTCTCAGGTGGAATGTGTGGGGTCTTTACTGACCCCCCAGAGGTCAAAGGTCATACTCTTCTGGCACCAAAGACTGAAACCTGTCCCTGGTACCGAGTTTGCAGGTGAGATATCAAGGCTGAAAATCTTCCCAGGGGCAAATAGCCTCAACTTTCTCCCACTTCCTCATCAGGGCTACTCAGATAAGAATAGCTCTTTATAAAAAGAGCGAGTTCTATTCCACAGGCTAGTTATCAGCTTTGTGGGATTTACAATATTTACTGAGCTAGCTGGCCTCCTGCTAGTTCACTAATCTGCCCTCACGGAATAACTCCTGCCATTGAGTTGATGCCAACTCATAATGGCCCTGAAGCCATGATCGAACTGCCCCTGCGCGTTTCTAAAACTGTAACTGGGAGAGTCTTTCCTTCTCCTGCGGGGTAGCTGGTGATTTCAATCTGCTGACCTTTGTAGTTAGCAGCCAAGCGCATAACTAGGACACCACCAGTGTAGCGGGTTAAAATGGGCTGCGAACCATGAAGTCAGTACTGTAGTTTGAACCCACCAGCTGTTCCTTAGCAGAAAGGTGAGGCTTTCTGCTCCTATACAGCACCACCAGGGCACCGAAGAGTAGGTCACACCCACTGCCATCAAGTTGATTCAGATTCACAGCAACTCCATAGAGGGCTTTACCTGATTGCCTCATTTTTCACCCGAGAAGCGGCTGGAGGGTTGAACCAATAACCTTGCAGTTCGAAGTCCAATGCTTACTTGGACAGTGCCACCAGGGCTCCGTGAGTTGGTACATAATGACTCTATGTAGCTAATAATACTGTATGGCACAAATATGAAAAAATGGGGTGAGAATGAAAAGATTCCATTTACTTCACTCCAAATTCTTTACTTCATAGGAAAAGAGAGAACAAGAAATAAGAGTATGACTTACAGCAATAAACAGACCGCGCTCCTTTTCTTGCAGACTAGCTTCCCACAAGCCCAATGAAGTCTGAGGAGGCGCCCTGCCCTGCCTCAGTCACAGGCTAAATCAATTATAAACAAATTGGAAAATGTATAGAGCTAATAATTTTTAACTTTTTCAAGGTGTGAAAAAGTTTGATTGCAAGCCAAAACAAATTTTTTTTCCACCTGCTTCCTCCTTTATTCCAAACTTAGTTCCGGCGAAATATCTTAAAGTGAAACATAAAAAAATAGACCAACTGTATTTTAGGGTCAAGCATGCCAACAGTGAAAATGGCGATAACTTTTAAATCAACGTTCGTAACCTTTGAAGTTTGAGGGGGGAAAAAATAGTTAACCTCTAAATTTAATGTCTTTCCAGGAAGAAGGCTTCCAAAAGCAAAGGTAAAAAGAAGTAAAAAAAAAAAAAAACAAGCAAAGGTAGCAGCCACCATTGCTCATCGTGACCTTCCTAAACATGGCCCTCGAAATACACAGTTTGCCAAGCACCTGACAATTCAGAAGGCATCCTTCTTGCTATTATAGCTAATAAGTTTAATTGCATAAGCATCAGTAATATGCGCGAAATTTGCCCCTGTGGTTTAAAACTCCTGAGCACTACCTAATAATGCACGGACCCGGCTTTCAAAGTAAATGCACTGACATTGTTTCTCGGAGGGATGAATCAACTGCTCCTAATTTGTACTTGATCGAGAACACGGCTCCCTGTTCAATCTATGACCAATCAAACTGTGCGTTGGGGGCAGACGGGCAGTCACGTGTTGGGTTGCCCCCAAGCCCCCGTGGAGGCGAGAACGTGGGTGCTTCGGTGCGGGGTGACAAACGAACACCGGTAGGTAGGATCGACCCTGCGGCAAAGCTCCTCTGGCTCCGGGCGGAGGGGGCGGGGGGTGTGTGCAGGATTACGCCCCGGACCACTCCTGGGCGCCAGGGGCAAGACCAACCGTCCCACGTAGCAGGGCTGGGCTGGGCGCCGGCGAGCACCGGCCTTTGGACGCCTCCGCAGCAGTCCCCGCGGCCGGGGGTCGGGTCAGTGGTCGCCGCAGCAATGCCTGACAGCCTCGGGAGCTAAGGGGCTGCTGCCACCGTGACCGCGAGCGAGGAAAGGGAGCGACCCTGGGCCGCGGGCAGCGAGTGAAGCCCCCGCGACCGGCACAGCATCTCGGCCCGCCAACCCCGCTCCAGCCCGGCTCCCGCCGCCCCCTCACCTCGGTCGGCAAGGGCAGGTTCTCCGCCGCTGCCTTCAACTCGAGCACCGAGTCCATCTGCCGGTCGGTCAGCGGCGCCGTGGTGTCCGGTCTCCGGTCCCAGAGAGCCAGCTTCTCCCGGGCGTCCCGCTCCGAAGTCGCCTCCGGCTGCAGCAGCAGGACCGCC